CACCGGCGTACCTCGTTGACAAATTTCCGTTGGAAAGAGCTCACATCCTCATTTAACTATCAAGAAAGTATTTGAACGGAATCGAGGCGTAATTACGAGTACTTACATCTTTAAACTGAACAACTCCAGCTTCCCCCAACTCCGATATGGTGTGATACGCCGCTTCGGGTTGTATAAAAAGCTGCACCAGACTCATCTCCTCGCTTCGAAATAGGCTTCCCATTTTGCCGATTTTATGAACGCTGTTGCATGCAGTATGTTTTCACCGCCCTTTTTTTTCAATCAAACCGGTATGTACACCTCAAGAAGCACTTTACGAATGGATGGAACCTTTACCTTATCTTAAAGATAAGGCCGATAAATTTAAGCAGATACCGTATCGGCATAGAAATATGATGATAAGTCATTTGTAGAATGCATAGATACCAACAATGGCTTTAAGTTCAGATAAATGACCTGAATAAAATTTTTGTAAAAAAACACTTTTTGGGTGTACCTACTCACTGAAAACAATTTAGGCTGACACTGGTCTTCGCCCTTCTTTATGTGTAATAGCGCGAGTTTTTTTATTGTTTACAGGGTTACTATCGCACTTGACGTGTGTAACTATCACGAACTATTGTTGTGAAATTTCTGCACTCGTTTCGACATTCGTACATTTCACCTACATTATAGTGTATACACTTATCGTTAGTAGTCAATTTGCAAACGTTATTTAGTTCCGTAAGGTGATATACAGTTTTACGATAAATAAATGCTTGTATACCATCGTCCATAACCCTAATATTTTGATACTTTGAACTTTAGTTTAAATTTCCGAATCCGGCTTCTGTTAAAACTTTTGAGTAGTAGTGGGATTATCTTCCAATGAAATCATTCAAAGAAGCACTAAATTGCTTTTTAATTGATATTAACAGTGAAGTAAATATTTTGACGAAATTGTATAACTTATATTTGGTTAAAAATTTTTGTTAGGGCAATCGATTTCCAAATGTCACCTCACTTTCAACACTTTCAGCGCACCCCTTACACGGG